AACTCCCTCCCGCAAGGTGCACACGGAGTAGGTTCTTCTCAGCCTCAGTGGTTCATGTAAAGACATGATGCCACAGCACTCTAGTCCGGGCAACAAAGCAAGATTCTGTCTCAAAAATAAAATAAAAAAAAAATCGGTTGTCTGCATATATGTGGACTAATTTCTGGGTTCTCTATTCTCTTCCATTGGCTTATGTGTGTGTTTCTATGCCAGTACTACACTGTTTGGGTTACCATAGCTTTGTAATATATTTTGAGGTCTGGTAGTGTGATGCTTCCAGCTTTGTTCTTTGTGCTCAGGGTTGCTTTGGTTATTTGGGGTCTTTTGTGGTTCTATATAAATTTTAGAATTTTTTTCGATTTCTGTGAAGAATGTCTCTGGTATTTTGATAGGGATTATATTAAATCTTAAGATTGTTTTGGATAGTATTGTCATTTTAACAATATGATCCAGGAGAATAGGATGTCTTTCCATTTGTTTGTGTACTCTTATTTTTTTCACCAGTGTTTTGTAGTTTTCCTTGTAGAGGTCCTTGGTCAAATTTATTCCTAGGCTTTTTGGGGGGAGCGGTGGTTGCAGCTATTGTAAATGGGATTGCCTTCTTGATTTCTTTTTCAGTCAGTTCATTGTTCATGTATAGAAATGCTGATTTTTGTATATTAATTTTGTATCCTGTAACTTTACTGAATTCATGTATCAGTTCCAAGAGTTTTTTGGTAAAGTCTTTAGGTTTTTCTATATCATGTTTTCTGCAAACAGGGACAATCTGACTTCCTCCTTTTTGATTCAGATGTCCTTTATTTCTTTCTCTGACTAAACTATATTTAAAACAAAGGTAGGTCCTTGCCTGCGAGAGTGGCCACTGCATTGGTGCTCTGGGGCTTGGAGGGCTGGCAGGTAGGGAGCTCACAGTCTGAGTTCCCCTTAGTCAGCTGTAGGGTCCCAGAAAGGGAAGGTCCCGTTCCTTGTAGGTGCCTCCGGCTGGTGGCTGTATTGTCTCTCTGGGCAGCCGGGGGTAGAGTCGGCGGAAGGAGGCAATATGGCGCCTGCCACGCAGCTTGGGTCTGTGCCCACGGAGGTGCCAGGAGGGAGTTGGGAGCCTGGTGCCACGTCAGCTACAGGCTCACTGCTAGCTGGCGGCTGCCATCTCTGGGGCTGGTGTCTGCATGTCTCTCCACCCGCTGGGGAGCCACCAGCCGTCCCAGATGTAGGGGAGGGGAAAGGTGACTTATCCACCTACTCTTCCCGCTGGTCTCCAAGCTGCTCCGGCAGTCTCAGCTTCCAGTTCTCCTCCGCAGCCTCCTCCTGTGGAGTCTCCTGGGGTCTCAGGTACCCCTCCTTCCGGCCCTCGTCTGCTGTATGCTTGCCTTCTTGCTTCTCTTTTCTAATTTCTGCTAGAATCTGTCT